CTCTCTGCATTACTTGAAATTATGCATTCAATTTCAAGGCATAATATTTTGCTAATCAATGACATTTTAAAGAAACTAATGAATCAAAGTGTTTGTTGTAATACATGTTTAATATATGAACTTTAAAACCATTAGCTAATAAACACCTCTCACACTTTAACACACATGAGCTATACTTAACACACTATCGAGTGGTTCACAATTACAGCGCAAACCCAGTGGTGTTTGTATAACAAAAATAAATAATTCATAAGACATTTGCGATTAAAAATAAACAATAATTGATTGTGTGTTTCGTTAGTCAAAGTCAGCGATAAATTTTCGTTATAACATAAACATTAGGAATAAAGGGTTAATTCAATGCAAAAACCACAACAAAACACAGCATTAAATAAAATGAATTGGCATTACTTTGTCGATCGACTGATTATTGGCCTGAAAGTCGGTGTTATAGGTGTCGGCCGCGGACTCGAACGCCGAGAAGAGGTCCATTTGGTGGCCGCTGTTGTGACGGACGCGGGCCGACGCTTGTGACAACCCGTTGGGTCCCGAAAGCTGGGGTACGGGTGGCGGCGGCGCCGGCATTGATGGCACATTTGGTGACTCGGATCGCGGCGACGGCCGCAGCGTTGCGCTCGACTCCCGACGCGGCGTCGGTCTGTCCTCGTTGTGGACCGAACCGGGCGTACCGTAACTGCCGTTACTGTCGCTATGGTTGCTGTGTATACTCTCAAACCGTTTGCGGCGCAAAGTGGCCGTAAATAACTGCCCGATTGCTGACTATAAACGGTCCGCAAAATAGATTAGTTTCAATAATAGTCAACAAAATAGTGGACAACAATTCATACCATTATAGGAAGCGCTTCCTTTTGAGTCTAAAAGTTGTATAAAATTTGTCAATAAATGATTTACTAAAATAAGTATTTGTTTAACTGATCCGCACCTTAAGAGCGAGAAACTGATGGCCAGTACTGCTGGAGCCAAACACGTAACCAAAGGCTCGGGAGTCGGACTCGTCCCTCGAGATGAACGATATCTGTGGCACCGAATGGTGGTAAATGAGTTCCGACGTCTGGGCGTCCCTTATCTTAATGCCATCGAACGATATGAAGAGATGGATCTTCCGTTTATGGCCTCCCAGTCCTCTCTGCAGTATCTGTTTTGAGTGATTTTGACAGACAATTAGATCAATACGTCAGACAACACACATGTCTATAATGATTGTAAAAGTTTTTGTCATTTAGTTGTTTCACAAATAGAAAATTTTAGTGATTGAAAAAATACTATTTTTCATTTCGTAGTGAAATTTCTCGACAAAAAAAATTTTGTGTAATTTTTGCCGCAATTATTTCGAGGAATAGATCACCAGTTGTTTCCAGTGATTAGATTTATATAGATTTTTGTGTGTGATTGAGATTTCACAATAAAAATGTATAGAAAAAACCACGAGATCAACGACACACTCGTGGATTATAATCACATTTAACAGTAAAAAATAAAACTTTATTTATTGAATGCTATGTTTTCGGTTTGTTTTTGGGATTTAAATGTGTTTTTATTTGTTTTTCACTGTCGTATCAAATAATTCGTCTGTTTATAACGCAATGAATGGCAGGAATAGTATGAAAATTTTTTAATAAATTTGTTATTCAAATAAAAACTGATAACACGATTGACACAATCATATGTGTGGTGTGTTTTCATAACACAAAGTCTATGAGATTATTAAATGCAATTAAAAGTAAACATCCCATGGATTTGTGTTTGTTTTGATGGTATAGAGAGGTATAGGCAATACACCCACACATACGGCTAATACTTCATCCCTCCCTCCGTGTCCTCTAAATCAATATACAGACAAAAACTTGGATTCAAATACAGTATCCTTTGCTTTGTAATTAACTATTCATTTAAATAAAATCTATAAACTAATCGCCAATTCTGTCTGTAAAGTGGATTTAAATAAATTAAAAGTATATTAAATTATATTGATTTTTGAAGTTTTTAAAGTAAATGTTCAAAATGCCAAAAGTCTGCACTAATATTAGTATCAATTTAATTAAAATTCAAAATCATATGAAAGCATAACATTTGATTAGATTAATGGAAAAAGTACTTAAGAATAAGAACTTATTGTCTTATATTTGATGTTTATTTAGTCTAAAAAATATCTTTTAAAACAAATATTTTGTTATGTTTTTTGACGTGAAATGACTATTCTATTATCAAAATAATCAAAATAACTATTAAATTAAATGTCGAATCAATTCAAATCAAACTGTTTTATCGCGTCTAGTATTACAGGCAGAGAGAGAGAGAGAGAGAGAGAGAGACGTAATAATTGTCTGTATTTTTACAATATACGCTTTTTGTCACTCATCTACTGAAAAAACAATACAAAATAATAGTTTCCTTACAT